TCCTTCCCCATCCTCTCTATGCAGCCCAGGCTGGCCTCAGCCTCTGTGCTAGGATTAGAGGTATCAGCAGACAGACCTAGCTTTACCTATTAAACGTTTACAGATTCAGAGATACAGGTTCATACAGACTGACTAGTGTAGTGCTAGTGACCACATCAAATGTATAAAACTTGCTCAACTTAAAGATAATAAAGCATGCTGGCAGTGGTGGTGCACACCTTTAATCCCAGCACTCAGGAGGCAGAGGCAGGCAGATCTATATAAATTCAAGGCCAGCCTGGTCTACAAAGCGAGTTCCAAGACAGCCAGGGACACACAGAGAAGCCCTGTCTTGAAAAACCAAAATAATAATAATAATAACAACAACAATAACAGATGGATGGATGGTGATGGCACACACCTTTAATCCCAGCACTTAGGAAGCAGAGACAGGAGAATCTCTGAGTTTGAGGCCCACCTGGTCTACAGAGTGGGTTCCAGGACAGCCAAGAATATACAGAGAAGTAAAATAAAATAATGTAGCTACAGCTCAGCAGTTGAGAGCACTGGCTGCCCTTGCAGAGGACCTGGTTTTGATCCCCAACACCCAGATGGTGGCTCACAACCATCTGTAAGTCCAGCTCCAGGGGACGCATCTTCTCTGGCCTCTCTAGGCATCAGCACTCTGGTGCACAGGCCCCTCTCCCCACACTACATACAAAATCAGAATAATAAAATCAATCTTAAAGTAAGGTCCAAAAGGATGCAGGGTAAGTTTACCAAAAGAACAAGTTCAATTGCAGTGACATGGAATCTCAAATAATTTGAAGGGAGTTAGTGAACAAGAGTAGGGCCTGAATAAAGACTACTAAAGTATGTGTTTACATAAGCCAGCATCTGTCCGAGCTGCTCAGCAGAGGTGGTTCAGATGCTCTTCCTCTCACATTCATTTAGCTTTACTATTTTTTACCGATGTAATAAATAGGAACATTATTACGTATTCCTTAAAAATATCTGAGGATTTGTGGCTCAGCAGTTAAGAGCATGTACTGCTCTTGTGGGTGAGACCTGAGTGTTTGGTTCCTAGCATCCTGTTGGAAAGCTTATAACTGTTCATAAATCCAGCTCCAGGAGATCTGATGCCGCCAAGGGCGCCTGCACACTTGTACACACACACACACACACACACACACACACACACACACCACAGATACACACACACACTTAAAAAGTTAAAATAACGGCCAGATGGTGCTGGCACACGCCTTTCATCCCAGTACTTGGGAGGCAGAGGCGGGCAGATCTCTGAGTTCGAGGCCAGCCTGCTCTACAGAGTGAGTTAGTTCCAGGGCACCTAGGGCTACACAGAGAAACCTTGTCTTGAAGCAAACAAACAAACAAACAAACAAACAAACTCAACACAGAAAATAAACAAAAAACAAAGCAGAAAATAAATAAAATAACCAGGTGTAGTAGCACATGCCTTTACTACCATTCACCCCTGCACCCCTCCCAGGAGGTAGAGGCATGGAGATCTCTGTGAGTCAGCCTGCTGCTCTACACAGTGAGTTTCAGGCTAGCCCAGAAGGAAAAAAAATTCTTTTTAAACTTCTTTTTATTTTTACGTGTATGAGAGTTTTGCTTGCATGTATGAATGTGTATTGCATATGTTCCTGATGTCTGCAAAGACTAGATGTGTGCATCAGATGCCCTGGAACTGGAATTAAAGATGGTTATGAACTGCCATGGAGGTGTTGGGACAGTGTTTTAAAGTACATATATATATACATATATATATATATATACACACACATATATATACATATATATACATATATGTGTGCGTATATATACATATATATATATATTTGTGTGTGTGTGTGAGTGTGTGTGTTTGTGTGTGTGATAACAACCCCGTTACTTGTTTAAACTTAAGAAAATAAAGGGTTAGAAAGGTGGCCCAGTGGTTAAGAGCACTTATTGCTCTTGCAGAGGATCTGGGTTCGATTCCCAGAACCTTCTTCCTGGTTCACACCAACCTGTACCTCCGGGTCACTTGGGTGGTGCACATCCATACACAGAAATCTAAACTTTTTTTTTTCTTAATAAAAGAAACTATCAAGTATACTTTTTTAGGCCCTAAATAGATTTTAAAACCTGCATCCGTTCTTTGTACCCTCTCCAATGTTCAGCACAGTAAATTGGATATCCGCACACTAGTTGTCTGATTCTCACCGAGATAACACTGTGAAGAGGTCACTGTTCTTCAGACAGTCGGACAAGTTATCCACGGCGGCTTCCAGGGTCAGGAGCGCTTCCATCACGTACCCCTGCAGAGCACACAGAGACAGCATTCGGGGCTGCTAACTTCCCCAAGGATGAACTAACCTAAGGCAAACCCTCTTCCTACCAAAATGGAATTTCTGGAAGCCAGACAATCATGGTGGTATTCATTTATAAAGTCTAAGATCAGATTATAAATCTTGCCTGGGGAATAACACAGCATAGGAGGTAGCCAATAACCATAGGATTAATTCCCCAAGTTGGACAACCTCAAGGGGATTAAAAATACAACAGGGCAGTGCGTGCGTGCGTGTGTGTGCGTGTGTGTGCGTGTGTGTGTGTGTGTGTGTGTGTGTGTGTGTGTGTAGGGTGAGTGCTGAGAGGAAGGGCGGGCCACTGAAATATAGAGGGAAAATATGTGGAAGCCAGAGGTAAGGAAGCTAGGTGAGCTGTCGGGTATCTGTGCTTCTGTGAAACTGACTGGAACTTCTGATGGCCTGACGGGAGAGGGACAGGGTGTGCAGAGGGCTGGCCTCAGCCGCACAGCCACTCAGTGCCCTTGGCTCTAACCTGCTCAGCTCCCAAGCTCTGAGCTCCACCTATAGGGGCTCCAGCATGACTCTCTCTCCCATCCAGTCTCCAGAGCGGTTCAGAGATCATCCAGACAGGGAAGGGCAGAGCTTAACCTATGTCCAGTTCTACCCAAACATTTCCCTGCCCTGACTGGACACACTGTGTACTTTGAGTCCTCAACAGAGGGTGGAAAGACCCAAAAGACACAAAACAACTCCATCTAATACAAACCAGCCCCTTGTCATCCGCCATAGAAAACCATTACTGCCACCAGACAGACACACACAAGGAGCCACTGAAGGATGCTCTTGTCACAAAATGTGATCACCTCTGTTGAACTTGTAGAACAAGTCCCCTGGAGTGACTGGGAAATTATAAGGATTAGCTTCTAAGCTCCCCCCCCCAATCCCTCCTGGCGGGGTTTCTCTATGTAGCCATGGGTGTCCTAGAACCCACTTTGTAGACCAGCCTGACCTTGAACTCATAGAGAGCCACCTGCCTCTGCATCTAGAGTGCTGGCATTAAAGGTGTACACCACCATGCCTGGCTAATAAAGACTAACTTATAAAATCTTTAATTAATTAATTAAATTATCAAATATTAATTAATTATTAATTATCAAATTAATTAATTAATTAATTGTGGTTCTGAGAGTTAAAGCAACTTCCTCGGACTCCCGGGGAGTGCTACATCACGGAGGGGCACTCCCTTCCATACCTGAATCTCGTCACCATGCTCTCCGATCACCTCCACCAATCTGGACAGGAGGTCAGACAGGGCATGCGCTGAAAGGGGTTGTTTGAGGGCCCGGAAGATCTGGAAAGATCGGCCAGCGTAGTGCCTGGAAGAGCTTGCGAGGGCAGTCTGCAGGGCAACCTCGCTCAAATGCTGCTCCAGATGGAAACCTGTGGTCAGAAGAGCAAGCCCTGGTGCTTCACACTGGTGCACCCAAGTCACGAGGGGTCGAGGGGTGTTAGATCAAGCTAACAGTCCCCCATCTCCTCACCCTGTAGTTTGACTCTGCCTCAGAAACAAAACAGGGTATGGATCTAGCTCAGTAACAGAGGGCTTGCCTATCATGGGCCAGACCTCAGGCACTGTTAAAGTACTTACTATAAAGCCCTAGAAAGATGGCTCACTGGTTAAGTACACTGGCTGCTCTTTCCAGAGGACGTGGGTTCAGTTCCCAGCACCCACATGGAGGCTCACAACCACTTGTAACTTCAGTTCCAGGGGATCTGACGCCCTCTTCTGGCCTCCACAGGCACTGCATGCATGCATGTGGTACATATATACACATGCAGGCAAAACAGCCAGACACATAAAATTTAAAAATGAAGGAAAAGAATCTATAAACAAGCAGGCAAAGGAAATAATAGAACATGAAGCCATTTTAAAATAAAAACAAATGTATGACTCATGGGAAGTGTAGGAAGAGGTAGAATCTTTGAGACAGGATGGTCCTGGTTCTGAATCAGAGGGCTTGTGACTCTGGGAAAGAGGTTTTCTAAGAGCCCACATCCTTCTCTTTGACTCGTGAGTGACAGGGTGTCCCTCTCAGGGATGTTACAAGAATTAAGCAACACAATGTCTGGCACACAGCCCATGTGCATACATGATTATTATTCTTTCCCTTTCATATGTGTCTGTTGATAGATTCATGTGTGTACGGGTACACAGCACATGCTTGGAGGTCACGTGTTGATGCCGGGTATCTTCCTCAGTGGCTCTCTCTCCTTATTTTGGAGACAGTGTCTCTCACTGAACCTGGAGTTGGCCCATTTCAGTGAGACTGGCTGCCCTGTGAGCTCTGGAGAGCTACCTGCCCAATTCCCAGGGTGCTGGGGTTACGGGTGCATCCCTACTGGGCATGCAGCCTGCCAGACATCTAGTAGCCTAGTGTTGGGCACTCTACTAACTGAGCCATTTCTCCAGCCCCTGGACTGTTTTTTTTTTTTTTTAAATATGTAAGTTTCCTTCCTTTCCTCCATCCCTTTTGTTGAGAAAGGACCTCACATACTATTCTGGGTGGCCTCAGATTCACTATGTAGTAGGTTAGCCTTGATCTTGAAACTTGAATTTGTCTTGCCTCAGACTGCTGAATTATAGGATAAGCTACCATGCCTGGCTTACTTCTTTTTGTAAAGAGGTGTTGTTAGAAATACATTTTTAAGTAGGAGAAAGATAGGGATGCATTTAACTGATTCTAAAGACATATCCAAATCCTGGTGCCAAAGCATCTGTTCCGTCAATGCACAGATCCAGAAACGCGGACAGTTCAGAGAAGGCAGTAAATATTACCTGACTGTTCTCGCCAAAGCAAGAGCCCAGGTGTCAGAAACCCCCTGACCAGGTGGAACAGAAAATGCAACCCAGAGACGCGATTGTTTGGGGTCACTAAGTTCACTGACTGCTGTTCCTCTTTCTAGGGAGACAGACAAGACTAGAGGACCCAATGAAAACAGTAATTTTTTTTTTTGGTGGGGCCCCAGAGGCCTTTGGACATGTTTGGTGTCACATGACCATGGACAGAAAGGAATAACTCTTGTTGCTGTTAGCTGAAGTTTGGAAATGTTCAATGTGTTATCATGGCAGACAGGATCAGGTACCTGATTTGGAATCCTTAAATACGGATACAACATGGCGTAGGAAATTGGAAAGCTGCTCTGCACTCTTGGAGTTCTGGTTTTTGGGTGTGATGTCTTCGTGGCACCAAAGTGGTCCAAATGCCCTGAAACAAAACATACTGACGTTATAACGCATGGCTGCTGTTTTGTGTTAAAAGACACACAAGGAGGTTCTAACTCACAAGATAAAGTGTACACTGTTTAAAATTATATTATTTTTAACTGTGTTTAGACATGTGTGTGGGTGTGTAGCATGAATGCAGTGTTCACAGAGGCCAGAAGAGGGCATCAGATCCTACTGGAGATGGAGTTACAGACAGTTGTGAGCCACCTGGTTTTGGTGCCGGGAACTGAACTTGAGTCTTCTGGAAGAGCAGCAAGTGCTTTTAACTGCTGAGCCATCTCTCCAGCCATGCGGATGTGTATATATGCATACACATGTAATTTATTGATTATATTCATATATATTTTATAATATATTGTAACATACAACACATTAATATCAATATAATGGCTAATGTAATATAATACATAGTAATACACTACATTCATTTTACATTCATTGATTGATTGGTGATTGATCGGTGGGGAAGGTGCCAGCCTCAGTGTGCAGGTGGAGGACAACTAGCCAGAATAATGGCAGGAGGGCTGGTGCGGTGGCTGGGATATGTATGTATATATACACACATGTAAACTTTAGCAGCTATAGTAACTAGCTAGAAGAAGCGTATCAAAACTTCTGTATTTACTCAAAAATAACTGGCTTGTGAGGATTTGCTTTTGATGTTTTTTAATTAGTTAGAATTAATTAATCATCATGCATGATGATGACGTGAATCTGTGGGTGCACACGCCACGGTGCATGTGTGGAGGTCAGCATACAACTTTGTGGACACTGCTCTTTCTTTCCTCCTTTATGGGGATCCCAGGGATTGAACTCGTGTTGCGAGACTTTCTGGGCAAGTGCCTTTACGTGCTGAGCCACCTCACCAGCCCTCCTGCCATTAATTTAAACTTATTTACAACAACCAGAATCTCTTGTTTCGGGCCAGCAAGAGGGCTCAACAGGTAAGTCATGTGCTGCTAAGCCTGAGGATCCGAGTTCGATCCCCGGGACCTACGTGATGGGAGAAGAGAGCTGATTCTGGCTAGTTGTCCTCCACCTGCACACTGAGACTGGCACCTTCCCCACCGATCAATCACCAATCAATGAATGAATGTAAAATCTTCTATAAAAAAGAACAGTGCTTGGCATATTGTAGGTGTGTATTTTGTTTGGGAAATGACATAAAATATCCGAGTTTGCCAATAAGAAAAGTTTATGTTGGTGTTCGGGTGTGAGATTCCACGGAACCAACAGAAAACGGCTTCTATTATCTAAACTTGTGTATGAACAGTAAGGATGGGCTGGAGGGAGGGGCTGGAGCGATGGCTCAGTGGTTAAAAAAGCTGACTGCTTTTCCAGAGGACCTGGCTTCAATTCCAGGGACCTACATGGTGGCTCATGACCATCATCCAGGGGATCTGATGCCCTCTTCTGTCTTCACATGCACTGTACATGCATTGTATACATATATACACACACGCAAGAACATGAGGTGACTACCACCATGCGGTACTGTCAGACTCTAAGTGGCAGCTGTGAGTGTTGTTGACAGACGTGAGCCTATTATGTCAGATAGAAGCCCCCAGAAAGGACAGCACGGCTCCACACTGCCTGGATGCAGGCTTTATACAACACTAGCTCCCAGCCTTCCTGATTAATGTGGAAAATCAGAAGAAACCTGAAGGGCCGGGCAGTGGTGGTGCACGCCTTTAATCCCAGCACTTGGGAGGCAGAGACAGGCGAATTTCTGAGTTCGAGGCCATCCTGGTCTACAGAGTGAGTTCCAGGACAGCCAGAACTACACAGAGAAACCCTGTCTTGAAAAACAAAAACAAACAAACAAACAAACAAACAACCTGAAAAATCAGGGCCACCTGTAGTTTCCCTGGATTCTGATGTCTGACTACACTGGATTCTTTCCCCATTATGCTTCCTGCTGTTTCTGGCTTCTGACTCTGGAGCAAGCAAGCCATGATCTCCGAGCAGGTGCCCTGGACCGACTGTGGCTAATACCTGTGGTCTTCAAAGTTCTTGGCTAAGTTTCAGAACTTCTAGGACCATCTGAGGTTGATGAAAGCCAGTCTCACGGCAGGGCATTACCGTCTGCTGCATCATCATCATTATATGCCAAATCTCCCTGCTGACCCATCATCCCGCCCGCAGGATATGCGGCACCTCTCACAGCGACTGCCCTTGACTCTAGCCAGTGTCAATCAGGAGGAGATAGGACTTCTTCCAAACAGCTGTGTGGTTTAAAGGGCTGGCGATTTTTTTTAAAAACAGCATCAGCCTAGAGCAGCAGCCTGATTCCCAGCGCCCCCGACCCCATTACCTGGTTGTCAGGAACTCAATGAGCTTGTTGGCCTTCTCGTCTGTTTCAGCGGCTGCGTCGATGTCTTCCACCTCCTGGGTCATCTGTGGGAGGTTCCCACTGCTGCCCCCCAGACTGATGCTGGAGGAGGTGGAACTGGAGCTCAGTCCAGAGTCCGGCACTGGGGATGACTGGTCCTCTCTCAGGAAGTCAAAGCCACCTAGTGGGAGGAGAAGGCAGAGGAAGAAGGGGCTCAGAGCCAGCAGGCTTGCAGAGGCTTGGAGGTAAGTATGTATAAGGAGACATTGAGGACACTTAATTTGGACCACGGCTACGTGGTTATGAGCAATATCGATTATTTTCCTTTTCTTTTCTTTCCTTTTCTTTTCTTTCCTTTTCTTTTTTCAAGACAGGGTTTCTCTGTGTAGCCCTAACTGTCCTAGACCTAGCTGACCTCAAACTCACAGAGATCTGCCTGCCTCTGCCTCCTGAGTGCTGGGACTAAAGGCATGTGCCACCACTGCCTGGTACAATCATTTTTCTTTGCTTACGGCCTCAGATGCACTGCTGTGCATGCCCGTGTGTATCTGGTATCATGGGGGAGATATGGTGTATTTCACCTTGGGGTTTGGCTGGATGTTGTGGCAAAGGGAAGGTACATGTATGTTTTATGCATATACTGACCCGACCAACAAATAGCCGAACTACCAAAGGTCAGTCGCCAACTATACTGTCAGCAAATTAGTCCCAAGTATTGGACAATTTAAACATTTAAAATAACTCCTTCAAGTTATAGTTAATGTTTAGTTAATGTTAGTAAGTTATAGTTAATGTTTTTGAGTAAATATGGTTATGAGCTTCATTAAGTGTGTGTCTAATATGTGTGTGCACATATGTATATGTGAACATACAATGTGTGCATATATATCATACATATATACATATACATGCACACATATATACATATACATACAAACATATACATACACATACACACATATATGTGATGCTTGGGATTAGACCTATGGCCTCATGCATGCTAAGTGTATATTTTATCACTGATCTACACCCTAACCATATATTAGCATATTTTAATGAGCTATATCACATGGTATTCAAAGACCTATTTGTTTAACATTGAATATCTCTAGTTATACTGTAGTTTAAAAATGTATACATGTAACTACCTCCTTTTTCGCTATTTTTTAAAATCTGTGTTCTGTCAGATTTCCATAAAACATAGACTCAAGAAAGCAAAAACCCCTTCAGGGTAATAAGAAAGCACAAGAGAGACACCTGCACGCTTGCCCTGTCCTGCTCAGGCAGGGGCGGGGCCATAGTCATCTTATTTCACAATTTCATCGTTTTGTGCCAATACACCAATAGGAACATACTCACCAGGGACGAAAGATTTATGAAAAATGCACTTTAAAATACTCAACCATGAAAAGGGGTTCTGGTGGCACGTTACCTGAAACAAGGTGTCATTTTATCATGCAGAAAGTTGAGCATAGCATCACAGGGAAGCGAATGTGAACTCCACGGCTTCCTGGGCTCCCCCCTACCCCTGCAGTTGGTCAGTTCTCTTACCGGTGTAGAGATACTCTGGCTGGTAAGCTGGCTGCATGGTCAAGGTCTTCGCTTCCCCCATCTCGCGGGTCTGCAGGAGTACAGAGGCAATGGCATGAAAGTTGCTGTTACAAGAGAGGGCGATGAGGAGGTGAAGGAGCAGCTTTTTGCTGTGCTCGAAGACTTCCGGCCGATAATGGTCCAAACCTGGAACAGAGAGCACAATCTCTTAATATAAGCAACTGCTAAAGCTCATGGAGATTCTGTGGATAGCAAAGACTCCAGGATGCTGGGAGAAATGTGTGTTTGGAGAGCTGTTAGTTGTCTTTGTTAGTTTTTGGTTTACCAACATAAAGAAGTTGGGCTTAAGGAAAAGATAAGACACCTTGTTGCTAAAATGAAGTATTTGCATAAAATGTTGACCAGTGGCCTTTTCTTGGCCTCTCTGTGGTTTTAATGTGGTTACTCTTCTTTCTTCTTGAAGCAATATCTTCCTGGGATCTGCTATTAAATTGTTTTCTCGTTGTTGTTTGTTTAATAAAAACATGTCTTTGTGAGCTCTGTCTTGCTTGGAAGTGCAGGCTGGGTTTGAGTTTGAGATCCTTGATCAACCATTGAGTGCTGGGATCACAGGTATGTATCACCATGCCAGGCTTTCTAACTTAACAGACGTTCTAGATAGTTCCCCTCCACTTCTTGCCTGACACTTGGACATCTCAAGCTAGCTGCTAAGCCTGCCGCATTTCCTGTTATATCTCTCTTTGCTTTACAAAGATTTCATGGCTTTCTATCTGTTTCCTCAGCCAAAGACCCCTAAAATAAGTCCACAATATTTTGGGTATCTTTAAACATGCATCAGTAGGTTTAGATTACAGAAATGTCAGCTTTACATGATGACTGACCACCTGGAACATTACGTATTACAGAAAGGAAACGAGGAAGGAAAGAATTCACTTCAGAACCGAGTGTAACCTATGAGCAACAAAACACATGCCTATGTGACAGGGTCTCTCTGTGTACCCTGCTGTCCTGGAACTCACTCTGTAGACCAGGCTGGCCTCGAACTCACAGAGCTCCGCCTGCCTCTGCCTCCCAAGTGCTGGGATTAAAGATGTTGGCCAGCACTGCCCAGGCCTCTGCACATTTATCCTCCTGTTGGTTAGAATCCCCCTTAGATCCAGTCTTACCCAAGAAGACAGCATGAAGCAACAATGGAAGATGAAGAGCCCAGTCTTCCCTTACACTGTGATCCACCACCATCTCAGTCATAAAAATCACAGCAATATTACACCTGCCCAACAAAACAGAAAAATAAGCATACACGTCCTCAAAGGATGAAAATACACCAACAGGTCAAGTCACAATTCAGTACTGCTAAGGATCACTGAAAAATGATAGAAATACTCACTCAAGGCAAATAGAATCTTTAAAAGATTTATTCATTTTTACTCTGCGTGTTTAAGAGTGACTAAATGTGAACCACATGCATGCAGTACCCATGGAGGCCAGAAGAGGGCACTGGGTCCCCCTGGAGCAGGAGTTACAGATGGTTGTCAGCTGCCGTGTGAGTGCAGGCCACGGAACCCAGGCCCTCTGAAACCAACAGTGCTCTTAACTGTGGTGCCATCTCTCCAGCTCCACAGAGACCATACAGAGCCCCAAGACACCCATAAATCTTATCACAGAACAGGGAATCTTCTAGCAACAAGGACTGAAGAAAAAGGAGAAATTGAGGTCGAGCCCAGCCCTTTACATTACGTGAAGCATTGAATTAGTCTCACAATTATATAGAGGACAACTCAGAGGGTCACAGGCGGAGATTTCACTAAACTGCTAATATTCTAGGAGCTGGTCATAAAGCCAGCAAGGCCACACAGACTTTAAAAACGACCTTTAGTGAGAACGGGAGAGTTCCCGTCTCACTGGTAGAGAAGTCCGGTCGAAGCAAAGCTCCCATCTCCCTCTGCTTCTGCATGTCGCTCACCTGTGCAGCGGTCCCCGCGGAGTGATGGTCTCTGGGAGGTAGTCGACCAAGGGGGCCCAGCATCCTCCAGTGCACGGCATGGGTAAGGGCTGTGGCTGCTTGGCCTCCGTAATACTTAACAACCAGCCCGTGTAGGGAGAGATGGGGTCATCTGGAGGGTGAGAAGGACACGGCTGCTTTACTTTCTGGGGAAAAGGACTCAGTGTTTACTGTAGTTGGTGTTTTTTAAGAAGAGTCTTGCAAATGTGTGCTTGGCAAAACAACAGCTCAGAAAGCGCGAATTGCATCGTCAAATGAGTTAGAATTAGTCGATTAGGTAATTACTTGATTAATTATTACTTGATGATTTGCAGTTCTTAGAGCAAAGAAAAATACATTTTTTAAATGTCCAATCATGATTCTTGTTGCAGAGAAATGCAGTTCTGTATTTCTAGTTAGCGTAGAGCGAGAACCCTAGGGTTATTCTGCAACAACACAAGGGACTGACACAGACAGGTACCATGTCAGGCACTGTCCTATGTGACACATACAGATACTGTTTCAGGCTCCATCCTATGTGACACAGACAGGTACCATGTCAGCCACTGTCTTATGTGACACATACAGATACCGTGTCAGGCTCCATCCTATGTGACACAGACAGGTACCATGTCAGCCACTGTC